GATAAATGAATTCAATGCACAAACGAACGATCAAGATATACACGTATATGTACACACATAGTGAAGGCTCTGTAACTATTAATTATACAATATACAACTACACACATATACTTCACATTCGTATATATAACTACGTGCCTACCTACCAGTAAACTCTCGGAAGTATAGAAAGATCAATAAATATAGTCCCAGAGACGGTAAGGAGTACTCTTTTTAAAATTTTTACTCTTGTCATTTTAAAATAGAATTATTTATGACGTTTCATTATAAATATACGTTCTTGAAACATAAATTAAGTGCTGATAAAGAGTTTGAAATACCTAATAGTAGGAGTAAAGAAGGATGAATGAGCTGCCTAACCTAAAAACTTGTTAAGGGGCATAGTGCTAAAAAAGTGGAAGCGAGTGCTACCTCTGAAACAAAAGGCGACACATACAATGAGCATCACAGTATGAACTATCTACAGTGTCTTTAACATCAATAGTCGATATTATAACTACTTATTAGTCACATGATTTAACTGATGATTTATCAAGTAGCTTATTCCAGATAGTTTATAAAAAAACATGTGAAAATCCCCCAAAAACCCCAAAATCATCGTTAGATGCTATATTTATAAATTAGAGTTAGAGATCACGTCATAAATAATTCTAACAGTAAGTATATAATTAATCCAATATCTACAAGGGGGTTTAAAATATGACTACTTAACGTTATAGAAAAATTCACGTAACCATTGCACCTCCAAATTCGAATAACTAGACAATTTTATACAGACACATGTAACTACACTATTGCTAACGAAAAAAAGGCTCAAATGGATTCAAAAATGGGAAGGCAGGACCAGGACAGAATTTGAATTTCTATTTATTGTGTTCAACTATGTATAACTGGACACTAACAATCTAAATTAGTGGCTACATGTGGGGTTAAATAATATATTCATACGAATCGTATAATACCGTACATCCAGCCGAGTTAAATACCAATCCCAAGTTAAAGGCGTCATATTGATAGATGTCCTAGTACAGTTTTATCTGCGAGTTATACGAAAAAAAGTCTTATAACGATTCGTATAAATTTACTATTTAACCTCTCCAAGCCATTTTTTATATTATATTTTTTTTTAATTCAAAGTATTATTAAAATATGTTTATTTTCATTATTTTTTGTCTAGTTTTTATTCATTCATTATGGTTTCATTTAGTGCATACTTACCAACATTATAATCATTTTAAAAAAGTATATGTGTACAGAAAATATAGTACATAGATACCGTATATAGTGACATAGTAGCTTACATAATGAGAGACTTTATTAGAACAATACTTAGCAACGTTTACATTGAAGCATGTCGGTACGGAGAATGCATAAGTCTGTTTTAAACCATAGTTAAGTCATAAGCGTTTATTGCACTGTTTAGTTACAAGATGTAATTGATACTTGGCTGTATTTCAGTCACTATGTAATAACTGTATTATTGCTATTATTGACATTTACAAAAAAATTACATTAAAAATGTTTTCTTAGGTTTTTATGAGTTTGTTCTGGCTAAAATAATTTTGAAAGACAGATATTAAATAATGGAACATAAATCAAGTTTCATCAAGTTCTTATTTCATGGAATTCGGTTTAGTTCAAATAACGTCAATAAATACTTTTTTTTTTTTTTACTTTAAAGGGTTTTTACCTACCTTATGCATACCAGCCCTATCGAACACCGAACTGATTTCTCAAATAAAATTTTTATCTACTTTCCCTAGTCACAGAAAGAGAGAAGTTAAAAGTTATCAATAATTTACAGAGATATTAAAAAAAACTCCGATTTGAGTTCAACTAACATAGATTGAATAAGACCAATATTTTTAATATGTAAATTTGTCTATTACCTAGACCTAGTAGAGAACATATCACTAAGGACGTGTTCAAAATATTATGATAACGGGAGGTAACAAATACAGTGTGAGGGAAGACGCAAGAAAAGGCCAGATAATAATAAACGTGAATAAACTGTACTAATTAATAAGTAAATATTATTTTATACCGTGATATTCAACAACCCAGTATCAATACATCCACTTAAATTCTATATATTAGCATATATAAAAAAGTTATTGCATTTTTCGATTCCTATTGTAATCGGACAGAATAATTTGATACTAATACTTAAATAAATATATTAATAGTAATAGAAAACGGATTGTATAGAAAATGAAAGTTGAAATAGCAACGGAGACCGGTTAGTAGCCAATACTATACAATACGAGTATAAACAATTTGCAATAACCCTGTTGAGATAATGCTACAGAGATATTTCAGTATCAGTCGTGATTTAGGCATGAATACCTGAGCTGCTATAAAGTAATGTATACATAATTAAAAAGCAGTATTTTATATTGTTCAATAAATATATTAGTATATATTAATTTACAGTAATTATGAAATTGTACATTTTCAATGTGAAATAACCATATTAAGAGTATATTATATTACTAAGTTATTTTACGAATTAGCGACTCAATAAATATCGGGCAATAAACATAGTAGTCGTCACTCTGATTTTAGTTTTTGTTATCGATTATCGAGAAGATTAATTAACCAAATAAATGCCTAATAATTTAATACGTAAATAATTATATTATTAAATGGTTACTTTTCACAGTAAATTATTTTCGAAAGTGTCATATCTAAAATGCACTGTTTTAACACAAATTCCATTGATGTTAAGTACTTTGAGCCTAAATATGAAGAAAGCACCATAGAAACATAAGTATTTTTCAATATATTTGTGAAATATAGCATTAATAAAATATATGTGTACCTTAATTATGTAAATAAAAGTTAAATAAATAAATTAAATAACATAATAAAAAAAAAACATAGACTATAATTGTGAAATAATAAAGAGCTATTGTCAGCAATAAACTTGATACTTTCACAAACAAAAATGTAGTAAATAATGAGTTAAATATGCAAATACAAAATAAGAAAGTTTACGGCTATTTCTAATATGATTTATTTGCACTATTTCATAAAAGTGATGAAGATAAAATGCGAACTGAAACATTTGTAAGTGCAAAAAGGCGGCCATATTGTTCAAAGCAATATTTCCAAGGCAATCTTTATTAATATGTCCTATTTGATAAACTAATTCCTGGAGAGTAATTAGCAAATACCCGATTCCAGTGACTAAACAAACTGTAGTTTATGTCAATAGGAATTAGACAAAGTAATAAAGAAACTATATGCTGGTACATCAAAATCAATGTGGACATTGCCTTTCTCTCTTTTATGTATTGCATCTGCTTTTAACCGCCCTGTAAAGAATATGAAGAGTCTAGTCTATGAGATTAAATACTCTTTGGCAGTGGGTATTAGAAAGGCTTGGTTTAAAATCACTGACTGCAAAATGCGACAAGGCCCCTACGAATTTTATTTATGTGGATGAAAAAAAAAACCTTAACAAAAAAGTTGTTAATTTCAATTTATTCCAAGAAATAATCGAAGACACATTTCTGATTGATTATCGGAAAAATAGAATTATCATCATTCTATTTTATTCTACATAAATATGCATGTGAGATAGAACGAGATGGCGTCCAGCGTCTTATTCGTTCTAATGGACCAGGTAACGAAAACGTAACTAAGGAGAGATTAGTTTTTTACTGAAGTAGGTGCATTCTTTGGTTTAAAACATTAATAGTTTGTTTGGAACACTGATGTATCTCTATTTGGAATAAGATTTTATTAAAAAAAGATTACAAACATGAACGTGAGGACCTGATGTAAATCCAGTAGAAAATGGATCAGTAATTTGCATAAAATAATTTGATCAACGTCATATTGTTTATGGTGACTTAATCAGATATATTATTTTGTACTAAATTTTCTTTAAACCAAGCCCTTCATTAAAAATGTAAAAGACAAGGCCACTGCAAAACTTACGAATAAGTCATCCGCTAAAAATTATTGCTAATCGAATATTGAATTGGACTGAAAAATGTGAAGAATTTTGCACGATGTTCCTTGTCTACGCCTAATGTCAAATTAATCTATCCCTATCGCACATAAAGCGAAAGTAAACGACTGAAAGAGACGAATACATTAAAAATTTTCCTACTTTAAACCAGAGATAAAAAATCTATCATTTCCCCCTCTATGTTAATGACATTATGTGCAATAAAATCTGGAATGTTAACCTACAAACTACATTCACAGTTACCTGTTAGTACTAACAAACCACATAATACAATAAACATTACACAAATACAAGCTTCTCTCGTTACATATAATTATTTATATAATGATGTAAATAAACATACAGAAATACAATTATAAAAAAAATATATATATATTACATAATATTGTACAGAATATACCTAGTTTGTAACAAGTGCATTTAGAATTTAAATAAATCATTCACTAATGAAAATATCAATAATATATACCATCGCATGAATATCATAAATACAATACTATATGCACACTAGTTCTCGACAATAATTACAGAAAGAAACTTGAAATACATTCACTAACCAGAAAAATATTGGAATAACCATCATAAGAATCAATTTCATAATTTGTTTCCTCTGGAATAAACATCTACATACTACAGATATAATGTATAAAGGAAGAACATTGCAAGGAAAAATTAGGTACGCGAATTACACTGAAAATCAGTTTGTTGTGCTTTAGATATGTATAGAGTTGTTAAATCGCCCGAAGAAAGGATACTTAATCAATAATGAGATATAACGACATAGCCTTAAAGTTTGTATTTAAATAGAAAAACAATATCCTCATTTCCCGAACTGACGACGGCGATGACTAGTTTATTAATTCCACCAAAGCGTTAGATCGTGCGGATCCCTAACGACTATAATTAATTAAATGCATCAATACGAGCTTTATTCCTATAACACACTCCTCACGACAAAGTATACGAAGACACAAAGTTATATATATATATATATATATATATATATATATATATATATATATATATATATATATATATATATCAAGAAATTGCCACACGGTGTGTACGAATCGAGCGAAAACATAGTACATACAATATGTCTGCCGAAAGTACAAGTTTACAATAGGTAAAACAGGGTCGACGTGGCGTACAAACACACCGATACGCAAACAACCGACAGTCCGGGAACATCACACCTCAGAATCGAACTTAAACTATGAGATTGCGGGTAGAGAAAACAATACTGGCGTAACGTGCGGGCCGGAGGCGACACGAGCGCGTCGATCGTCAGTCACTCCTACGTTTTGCTCCTTAGGCGATAATATCACAGATTCCTAAAACAAAATTAACACACAGTGACGCTGAGACTCACGTACGTATCGAGACAGAGCCGAGGGCGGCGGGGCCGGCGCTCCTCGCGGCGGGGCGGGGGACGGGGTGACCCCACGCTTTAACCTTCGGGCGCACCGCCGCATAGGCGTTCTAATTCTAAAAGCTCCTGAAACAGATATATACATATATATGTACATTATATTAATCGACTTTATTTGCTGATTTCATAACTTGATATTTTAACAACATTTTATTTTTGTAAACATTGTTACGAAAATAAATATTTATATTTTCAAAAATTGAATAAATATTGATAATTGAATAAATATCACTTTCTGTACCATATTTTCTTTTGGTCAATAGTAATTAAAAAAATATTTATCATGGAACAAAAATGCTAAATTATATAGTTGCGTTAAATTGACGTTTGTATTACTATATTACAAACATTAATTCTTAATTGGCAATACCTCAACCATATTTGGTAACGGATGAATAGCAATGTTCCCATTTACAACTGGTGTTTATATAATTTCTTAAATATAGTAACATTACACCAAACATACATAATGCCAATTTTATACAATACTAGCTATTGTCCTTGACTTTGCACGAGTGCCGTCGTGTTTCCCCTTTACGTTGAAATTTTTTTTAAATTCTTTTTTAGTTGATGTTGAGACCCATTAACACATGTCAAAAGTTGTAGTAACAGCTGTTAATTGTCCACTGCTGAACATAGCTTCAGCGATAAGCGGAGTTTTGCCAGTAGCTGCTAGCTTGGCAGGTGGATTGGTAATCGCAGTTTGGCTTTTAAGAGGGAAACTGCTGTTCATCCCTCTAACATAAGCTCCCTTAGTTGCCTCTTACGACACCCACAGGAAACGAAGGGGTGGCCTATGGTATGCCGGGACGTACTCGTACACGGCGGAAGTACAACGGGATATATATAACATACAGGGTCCATGAATAGTATCGGCGGCGCGGTACCTGGTCCCGGTGCTTCTGCAGCAGCGCGCGCAGGCGCTCGTGGCGGCGCGCCAGCGCCTCGCGGCGCCGCGCGTACGCCTGCTCCAGCCGCGAGCACTCCGCCACGCCGCGCTCCACGGACTGCACGCGCGCACACGCACGACACGCACGCACGCACGCACGCACGCACGCACACACGCACGCACGCACGCACGCACGCACGCACACGCGACACAACACAACATATATTAATATACATATATTATCCTTATTAAAATTAATTTACACACGTGCACACAACAAAATATTGTACATTAATTTTTATTATAAATATTTTAAATAAATATAGTAATTTATTCTTATATATATTCACAATAACATACTACTAATACTCAGAACAGAATGTCTGATAGCATTCCTTACTATTCAAATGTCACGCTAAACAGTTTGTTATAATATATTTTTTCCTATACTATATAAAAATAAAAGATCCTTCCTAACTTCATCGTACGGCTCGCCATCGACAGGGAGTTCACCCTCATACCTTACATCCTAAATGATCGCGTACAACGCGGTTTCAGAGATGTTTTCTCCCACAAACACTCAGGTTATGGAATGAGCTCCCTGCCGAGGTTTTCCCAAGAGACTACAGCATGGGGTTCTTCAAAAGGGGGGTAAAGAGGTTTCTTCAGGGTCAGCAACGCGCGCGTAATACCTCTGGTATTGCAGGCGTTCATAGGCTACGGTAACCGCTTACCATCAGGTGGGCCGTATGCTTGTTTGCCACCTCAGTGGTATAAAATAAAAAAAAAAACTTTTTGATTAATTTCTAAAAAACAAAGTTAATTAAATTTCATAAAAAAAATAATTTAAACACTAAAATATTAACACTGTTTACTACGACACCCCATACATACACTGTTTTGTTCATAGATAAAGTATAACGTAATAACAGACTGGCAAAGCGATCATAGAAACGAGACAAGAAAATAATATTAGTGTACGTGTTTTGTAAATGTGTGCATGTGACAGTTCTGAATATATCATCATGTATTAGTTGTTTCTATTTCAATTCAAGTTGTTCTACCTGTTCTTCTACAAAATATTTCCGGTCATTCAATAAACACAGATGTTTAAAGCGTGTTTAAAGCGTAAATTACGTGTAAATGAAATGCACAAATTTTGGTTCTTTCTTACTTATGTATAATCCACACATGTGGTGTTGTGTTCTGAACACATTAACTTAAATTTATTCTACTTTAAAAACTTAAAATAATTAAAACTTATTCATACTCTCACCAGCATATATTGTGTAGGTGTATGCCCTACTTGCATATCTCACTCCGACATATATGTTACTATACTTTTTTCCTTTATATTACCAAACTATATTTTTTATAATTTAAGGTTCTGTATAAATTAACAGAATAAAGTTTTTATAAAACTACTATTTTAAAAATGTTTCTGGAATGATGAGGAAGACTTTGTACAAAAGTCGATTGCTTGTGTACCTCTGTCCCATTCGTGTTTCAACTACAAACAACAAACAAAATACATTCTAAGTTGTATAAAAAAAAATTATGGTCACTCACTTGAGAATGTATTTCCCTCTTTATCCTAAGTATTTCATCCTTATCCCTGTTGGTCTTCTTGGCAAGCGCTTTCACGTCTTCTTTCCGCGAACACGCAAGTTTGTTCAGGATCTCTTTCTTTTCCAATTCTAACGAGTCCTAGAATAGGGATACGCTTTATAATACAAACACATAACAAAGTAGTAATTTGAACAATTTTTAAGGTAAATTTTTAAAATTCGAAATATTTTTGATACTAATAAAAATTAAATTTATATATTTAATAATAATTTTTATTACTATAATTATTTATATTTATAGTAGTGTTGTCTAAAACAATAAAAAAATATCACTGTAGAATTATTTAAGGGTAAACTAAAAAAATGTTTTAGTCAGCTCTGTCTTATGAGCCGAATGTAAAACAGTCCCTCTAGACAAGTGGCAAACGATTCCATCGACGAATTCGCTTACCACTTGTTCAGAGGGCCAGGACGGATATTTCTATTGTAACAAAGGAACTAAACTGTAGAATTATATGGTTATACTCGTGTTGCAAGTCTTTTTTTTTACTACCTCTCACTTTAGTTATTTCCTGTGTTCTCTCTTTCGTTTTCCTTCGCTGTTTTTTTTTCTGTTGTATATAGATGATAATGGATATGGCATCCCCGCTCGCGCTATCGGTATACATCAGCGGAGCACCAGTGAAAGATGATAGCTGAGAACGAATGCATGTCAGTTGACCCACCATGATGAATTCGACAAAAATTAATAATGATGGTTTCCAGGGGGAAATCCGTGGAGGTCGACCTGATGGTTGGGGTTGTTAAACCCCGTTACTAACAATCCTTTTCCTCTCACTATCGGTTATTAAATCTTAATATATCCACATTATGCTTATATCACGAGTCTTTTTTTCATGCGTGAAAATGGCATGATTACTCCACCTGCGCTATTGGTATACACTAGCGGGGTACCAGTGAGCGGTGATAGGTGAGAATAAAAAGGCAGGTCAGTTAGCCCATTGTGACGAATTCAATGATAAACTGGTCACGATAGTTTCCAGGGGGAACCGCGTGGAGGTCGACCTGAGAGGGTATATTGCTAGCAATTGGGCTATTGGGCCTCATTACTAAGAATCCCTTTCCCTCCCAGGTGGCAGGCGGGCGCGTACGTACAGTGAGCGCCTTCATCTGGTGGTGCTGGTCGTTGCGCACGTGCTTCTCGAGCGCGGCGTAGATGGCGTGGTGGTAGCGCAGCCGCAGCTCGCGCTCCAGCGCCGCCGCCTCGCCCGCGCCCGCCTCCTCCGCCGCCGCCACCGCCTCGCCCGCGCCGCTGCCGCTGTAGCTGCGCGACAGAAACACACGCATCAAGCGTATATGCTATGGTAGTATGGTCAGCGTCAAAGGTCAATGAACATGAAAACATTTTCAAAATGTCTGTACTTCATATTCATATTATAACTGTTTTGGAAGCTTGTCCTAAAAAACGCATAGGCAAAATATGTTGTTGTATTTATAAATAAATTTCGAATGTTATCAATATGGAGTCACATGATTTTGTAAATCATCATCTATACATATATAGAAAATAACCAAATTGAGTAATAAATATTAGAAATATCTAGTCTATATGATCCATCTCAAAAGATCAAGAACTTTTTGGATTGTGGTTCGACGAATATAAAAAGCGAACGACATGCAATCTAAAAACGTAATCAACGTTTATTTACAAGATTGAAATACTGCGAAGTAATAAGATGTGTGGAAATTTCATAAAAATTCATATTATCGACTTGGATTCTCTGTACCTTATTGTTAATACTTGAAATAAATGTAATCTTCACGAATCAAACAACAAACACAAGAAAGAGAAGAAAAACATAAGCTTACATATTTTTCGAGGAGAGTTTCTTAACAAGTTTATTGCTGACGTAGAACTTGGCAGAGGTGGGTCGCTTGTCTTTGTCGTGCTTGCGTCGCAGCGCGTCCAACTTGCGTGCTAACTCGGCTCGCTTCTTACGGACTAGCTCGCTTGATAACAAGCTTTCCAAGTTCTCGGATAGGGTCTCATCTGAACCTCCATTCGACTTGTTATCTGATTGGTCTGGAAGTATATTTGTTATATGTAATACACGTTGGAAAAAAAAACGATACAACTAAGAATAGAATTTTTTTTTTATACAACTTAGAATGGCAACAAGCTGACGTCCACCTGATTTTTTTTTACAACACAGGGGGCAAACGAGCATGCGGCTCACCTGATGGTAAGTGACTACCGCCGCCCATGGTCACCCGCAATACTAACGGCATTGCAGGTGTGCTGCCGGCCTTTTAAAAAGGAACATGCTCTTTTCTTGAAGGTTATGTTGTCGTATCGGTTCGGAAATACTGCTGCTGGAAGTCCGTCGCCTATAGACATGAGCAGTACCATGGACATAACAGAGTATACTGTTTCGCCCATGATAGCCCCCATGCGTTGTCATTCCTGAGACCTCAGGTGTGCTTCCTCTGTATCCAGTAAATTCATGTCATATCCCACCCTTCAAACCGAAACACAGTTATGCAAATACAACTGCTTCACGGTTGTAACACGAATGGGACAGAGGTACCCAAGCAATCGACTTTTGTACAAAGTCTCCCTCTGAATTAATGGCCCACATGTTAAAGACTACAATCATCACAGAACTATGATATTAAATTATCATATATTGAGATTATTAACATAATCAGCGAAAAAAGTGACAAGTTCCACAAAATGCGAATCAAATTACTCCATTAGACCAACTGACACTGCAATATTAGGAAAATACTTAAACAATTTTTCCATATATTTGTAATGAACATGTCTTTTTATCGTGCTGACTGTACATATTTCCAAGACCTTTAGTTACCTTGAGATTCTTTGTCGTTAGTGGGCGGCGGTGACGGTATCGCAGTTGTTGTCTCGCTTTCTATTAGTTTCTTTGTCTCCACGACAGCTACGGTTGTCTTGCTCGGACTACCGTCAGATGTGCTTTCGTGCCTAATCTGTAAGCAGATTACTTGATTAAACTCTATAATTTATTGTTTAAGATTCATTAATTGTGTAATTTCGCTAATACTGAACCGATATTGATAAATTATTTTTTGATTGAAAGTGTTTTTCCATGTATATAGCCCCACAATAATTTCATCAAAATTCAAGTAGATCTTTTCAATTTATGTATGTTACTATTTCTTAATTTACTTATGATTATCTTTAAATCGAGAGATTTTATTTGAATGGTCCTATACTAATACATTTACATAATCGATTACTTTTTTATGCAACATAAATTTGAATTAGTTATAGCCAGTTCATATTAATCGCAACAAATTTTCAAATTTCGAACTTCTACCATTCCAAATACAATTTACCGGCATAGCGCACGGGGCTCGTGCGTCAGTCGGGGCAGCGGCGGCGACGGGGACGGTGGTGGCAGCGGGCGGCGGCACATCCGTGTCTTCGGTGAGTACGGCCAGCTGGTGCTCGCGCTTATCCAACTCGCTCTGGTATTTGATCGGGTTCGCTAGTGCCTCCGCCAACTCAGACAGTCGGTCCGGCACATAGTCCTATATACATAACACAAAAAAAAAAAATATAAACAAACGGCATATGGTCCAGATCAAGAAAGAGTAACGATTTTTTTTTTCATTTTCTTTATTTCTCTATTCTATGCGGGATCTTATGTATTCTGTCAACTGTTACTTGTCAAGCATCTAACATATTCATTTTAGGGTGGAGAGTTGGTGTAAGAAGGATTGGGGAATGATGTAGCAGTGTATGAATAGTAACCTTAACGACGACGAGTAGCAGCAGGCTGGCGGGCAGCGGCAGACCGAGGTCGGTGCGTAGGTTGACGTGGCGGTAACCGGGACACAGTCCCACCACCGGCAGCACACGGTGCCCCAACAGACGTCCGCTCTCCTCATGCGCTGCGATGCGGATCATTGCCAGCTTTGGCAGCACCACCTGTAAGGGGTGGAGAATTGTTAGCTAAACCCTGTTAGTTTAGTGGGCTATATAGCAATATATCCTAACAAGTCGACGTCCACGCGATTCCACCAATGAACCATCGCGTTAATTCATTAATATATAAATCACGATGGGCCAACCTGACCTACCATCACTTATGATACCCTACCAGCATACAATGACAGTTAAAAAAAATACAAAAAAAAACCATCCCTAATTATCTATGGTTACTAGTAACCAATACTTGTATGTTAAAAATAGAAAAACAGTATATATCTGAATCAGAATAAAGACAGATTTATTTACATATAAACATGTGTCTACACATATATTCAGTGATATGTGTTTCTAATGTGTTTTGCTAACAGAACATAAGTACTTACAGAATGAATTCACGGAAATCAAACAATACTATCTCAGCGATGGGTATTACTAGCTGTAGAGAATTATGTGGTTAGTTGATTAAAATTATTTTGATTCATTTTTTAATCAACTAATTAGTGATAACGGACTTTTGCAAAACATTGTTAATTTCAAGAATAATTAAAGATTTTAGAGAAGTTTGTAAACAAAAGATTAAAAATGGATGTAAATAAGTAAATATGAATTTCTACTAAAAGTACAAAGAATATATTGATAAAAAATATATAAAAAGACAAAAAAAAGGACTTTTCAAATCGGTTTAGAATTAACGTAGATACGAGCTAGCAAACATAAAAAAAATACAACCGAATTGAGAACCTTGTTCTTTTTGAAGTTGGGTAAAAAAAAGAATAGTCTAATACAGATGGCTGTATGTTTATTTGCCACCATTTACATAACTTAAAACTATTCTAAGGGTATTTGCGGACCGTCTACACTGCCAGTATTTGAATCATTGCAGAATGATTCACATGCTGGCTAACATACAAAAAAGTAGGTTAAGTTAATGTTATTTATTTATAAGTGTAACAATTTAATAATTTATATTTGGTACATATATTTGATATTGTTAAAATTTTGTGGACCCTTATTGCCTTTATTAAAGATTTTTTTATACAACTTAGAATGGCAAACAAGCTGACGGCCCACCTGATGGAAAGTGGTAACCGTCGACATAGCCATAAGCACTACCATGGATATAACAGAGTATACTGTTTCGTCCATGATACCCCCCCCTGCTTTGCCATTCCTGAGGACTCAGGTGTTAATCCTGTGTACCCAGTAAATTCACCCCATATCCCACTCTTCAAACCGAAACACAGCCATGCAAACACAACTACTTTACGGTTGAAACACGAATGGGACAGAGGTACCTAAGCAATAGACTTTTGTACAAAGTCTCCCTCTGGTAGAAGGTTTATTATTATATTATTAAAGCGAATGACCTTACAAAACGTCATGCACCCACCTTCTTAAATACGAACGGCTCTTCGCCATAAACGGGGTTGATGCCGTTGTTGGGCGCGACCCTGGTGCGGAACTTCTTGCGGACGGTGTCGGCGGGCAGGCCGAACATGTCCACCTCAACGTAGGTGCCGCAGCGCTTGTCCGTGAGCAGCTGGCCCGACAGCACCGTCACCGACAGCGAGCCCGCGATGATGCCATCCACCGTGCTCTCCGCAAACGGATCCAGTCGCCGGTCCTGATCGGACAAACAGGTATATATTACATAACTGGTATATAGTGGGGGGAAAGTAATTGTTAGTAATGGGGTCAAATAAACCCATAAAGCAATATACCCTGTCAGGTCGACCTCCACGTGGTTTCCCCTGGAAACCATAGTGGTCGATTTTAGTTGAATTTGTTAGGGTGGACTAACTGCTTGCTTTCATCCTCATCTGTCATTTCTCACTGATGGCTCGCCAGTTTATACCGATGGTGCAGACGGAGTTACCAACTACCTCCTCTTCTAGGGAGAAATCTGTGCCCATTAGTGAGATGTTAATATGTTTTATTAGTGTTGATATATTCATCAACATCTTTTCAGCCGTTAACTGACGACTACTGAATATAGGCTTCCCCCATAAGAGCGGTTTTGCTAGTAGTTGTCACACTTGATAGGCGGGTTGACAACCGCAGTTAGCCTTTAGAAATTTTAAGACGATGACTGCTGTCCATCCTTGTGACCATTAAGTTCCCTGAGCGGTCTCTTACTCCTGGGCAGCCATCGAGTTTGTTCAAAAACATATAAAAACTTGTTTTGAAAAATGTTTTTAAATAAGACTCGTTAATTTCTAAAATATGAACGATCCAAATCGGACCATAACAATACCTTCCGGCGCATGAATTCCGGCTTGAGCAAGTAGCCGCAGCGGCCGTTGTACTCAAAAGTGCCAAGGTTGAGCTGCATCGCTAAGTCCAACGTCTGGAAGTTGAGCGCCACCAGCTGACATCCCGCGTTCCAGAATACCTGGCATCAATAATGCAATAAGTAAGATTACTTAACAAAAAAATAACCTATATCAAATTTAATCAAAATTATGATATCAACATGGGAGTCTCCGGAACTGGTATGTTTGCATGGGACGAGTTTTTTTTTTTATACAACTTAGAAACAAGCTGACGGCTCACCTGACGGAAAGTGCTAACCGTCGCTTATAGACATGAGCAATACCATAGACATAACAGAGTGTACTGTTTCGCCCATGATACATGATATATTTAATGACATAATAGATATATTTTTTAAATGTTGTTTAAAGTGTTTAAGTTTGTAAAATAAACCTATGGTTCACTACACGTTTTGGGATACTGTAAGTGCGGTGAGTAATTTATAAAAAAAAAAAATTGATTCTATGCAAATCATCTTTCACAACAGTATCCCAATTCAATCAACAATGAAATCCAATCATATTCTTTATTAGTCATTTAGAATCCAGATATTCTGAGATACTGCAAACTACTCACTATTGCTTGAAACTATTGTATAAAAAATTATTAATACTTCAAATATTTATTACCTGTGGCATAAAGTTGGAAGAATCGAACCTCGTCCCCGCCGGGTAGACGCGCGACAACTGGTGCTTGTTATAGTTCACAAACTCTATGGGTCTCTCTTTCAGTAAAGTGGTCGCTTGTTTCTCATCGAATGACGACATCTCGTAGAAACGATTTTTTTCTGCAATAACAAATAATAAGATTATATTAATGTGTAGGGAAAATTCTAAATCCAGTTTAATTATTAGGCCATAATTTTTAAAATATTATAGTCTTATAAAATAAAGTACAAGTTCAATTACATTTAGTTAGGTTAGGCAACGAACCGTCGAGCAGATTTAGCCCTTTACTCACAAAAATCCCGTAGAGGTCATAAGAAGTGATTTAGGGAATTTAATAGTCAAGGAATTAGCAGCAGCATCCTTCTTGAAACATCACAAAAGACTAACTGCGGTTGCCATCCCGCATGCCAAGCGAGGCATTTATTTGATCCCCCCCCCCCCGTAAAAAAATATCATGAGGGAATAGTCCCCAATCCTTTGGCTCGGGACAGTCCCTTATAGTAGTCTATGGGAGAAGCTAATATTCAGCAGTGGATGCAATAATATAAAAAGAAAAGAAATTTTCAAATCGGTTTACAACTGACCGAGTTATGAGGTAACAAACATAGAACCTCCTTCTTATTGAAGTCGATTAAAAATATAGGAAATTACGTGTCTAGTCGTTTGTCGTAAGACAATAACGTGGGTGCACTAACTCTCGGCGCTCTCGAAGGAGCTGAAGTGTACGGGCTGCACGTAGTTGACGAGCGCGGAGATCTCGGCGGCGGCGTGCGTCTCCCGCGCGTCGTCGCCGCCGCCCGCGCCGCCCGCGCCGCCGCCGCCGCCCTCGCCGTCACCGGCCGCGCCGTCGCCGCCGCCCGCCTCCTCCTCGCCCGACGAGCTCTCCGAGTCTGACGACGTCGAGTCTTTGGACCCTTGGCGGACTAGCTGCAAGTACACATTGCTTCTATATAAGTAATTGGGGGAGGAAGGATATTTGACAATAGGTTTAAGCTCATTGCTAACAATTAGGGAATAGAATCGAGAAAACTCTGTACCGAAAATTACAATTCCTACAAATAGGGCGAGATCATGTACCTAATCAGATCTACATGGTTCCCCCTGGAAACCACCGTAATCTATCTTGATCTATTTGTCGCGACCTGCTTCCATTATCACCTATCATCACTCGCTGGTATCCCACCAGCATATATCGATAGTGCAGGCGGTATATATTAACAATCTATTTTCATCCTGTTAGTTCATATATTTCTTGGATGATAATAAGTAATTAAAAATAAAAATTAAATATTTAGAAATAAAAATTAAATATTACATCAAGTTAGCTTTCCATTCCATTTACTTGCTAGACAAACTGTCACATTATTACATTAAGTACATTAAATAAAATTAAATAAAAAATGAATAATTATTTATACAATATATATTGTATAAATAATTATTCTTTTTTTTTTATTTTATTGTTAGCTCATTCGATTTTGGCCTAACAGAATATCAGTGTTTTGCTCTTTTGAGGGCAAAAGAATAAGAGTTGTGACCATTTTGTGTTGCCATGGCCCACGCACGAAAGGAAAATTATGTTACTTCTTTGTTTTCCTTTTTTTTTGTAAATGTATTCTTTTATCTTTTATCTCTTTTTTGTGTATGTATTAACAAATAACAACAGACATACCTATGCCTGTTTTTATTTTAATACAAATAAATTATCTATCTATATAAAAATATAACACCTACTTAGAAGAGACTTAAACTAAATCTAAAAAGCATTAATACCAAAGCTTTCCGTAACGTCGGAACATAGTAACGGCTTTATAAGAATCTTGTTGAATGATTAAAATTTGAATTTAAGAACATTAACTTCTTAACATTAAGCTATTAGTGGAAATCAAAACTAACAGTGGAATGTGTGATTTCCCCGTTGCCCTGTATGGCGGACTGCTCGGGCCGCGGCTCCGACTCCTCGGACGCGATAGACTCCTCCTTCTTGTGGTGGTGGTGGTGCTTCTTCTTGTTCTTTATTATGATCTTGTGCCGGAGCAGAGACGGCGGCGGCAACTCCCCTCCTGGAGTATCGAGATATCATTTCATTACAGGGGAGAAGGGATTGTTAGTAATGGAGATAAGCAATCTTATTGTTAGCAATTTAACCTAAACCTTAAACCTTATAAATTCGACCTCCACGCGATTACTCCTGAAAACCATCGTGATTGGTTTATTATTAAATTCGTCACGATGAGCCAACTGATGCTTCATCATCATCTATCATCCTTCACTGGTACACCGCTAATGTATACCGACAGCGCAGGCGGCAACCATTAAAAAGAATTAATTACAAACTAATCTTTATCCCCGACATCGTCCGCGTAGCCTGAGTACGTTATACGGAATAAAAAGCAGCCTATGTTCTTCTTCTGAAATATATACGTGAAAGAAAAACTTCATAGAGATTTGTTAAGCGCCAAGAAGTAACAAACAATATCACTTTAACATTTACTTTATTGGTAAGAAACAGAAGGTAAAAATATTTATAAATCATAGTTTAAAATTGAACCTCAGATAATATGAACGATGTTTTTTTATGCAACTTAGAATGGCAAACAAGCTGACGGCGCACCTGATGGAAAGTGCTAACCGTCGCCAATAGACATGAGCAGTACCGTGGACATAACAGAGTACACTGTTTCGGACATGATACCCACCCCATGCGTTGCCATCCCCGAGTGGAAAGACTTAGGTGTTATTCCTCTGTATGTAAATTTACTGCCATATGCCATCCTCTAAACCTAAACACAGCCATACAAACATAACTACTTCATGGTAGAAACACGAATGGGACAGCGGTGCCCAAACAAACGACTTTTGTACAAAGTCTCCCTCTGGTAAAACTCATCAAACGATAAACATATATAGAAAAATTATATAAACTACTTAAAAAATAAAAAATGTATAATGCATACTAAACTCGTTCTATAGCAAGCCTGATCTGAACGCAAATCAATTTGTAATTTCAAATCTAAATAAATTCTTAGATTACTTCCATACATATGGTTCAAACCCATCACGCGGAGTGATAAAACGGGGCTACAATCAAATAACCCGGTTACCACGGTAATATAAATAAAATATATATATTCATACAAACTTTGGAGTAACGCCTAAAATATCTAAGATCGATCAAATTAGTTCAACGGTTACAGTATTGATCTTAATTTGAATAAACAATAATAAAGTTCTAAATCCAATAAACAGATAAATTATGCCTAGAAGAAAAAACAGTTCAATTATGACTAAAATAATATAAAACCAAAACGAGTGTGAATCCTAGAGATTGCTAAACTAATTTATTAATATCAGTTCAGAATTGGTTTAAATACCACGCAAAAGAAAAGAGAAATAAAGGCAAAATTAGACGCTCCTCTTTTTAAATATTGTATTAATATACTAAATGCGAATGTTTGTAAATAATTATAAATAAAATATATAAATAAATAATAAAAATATATATAAATAAATAAACTAAACTAAATAAAATCGATATAATATAGACACGTCTAACTGTTTATCTACAATAACTTAAATTTTTTTCTCTCTTTTGCCCCGTGTCACAAAAAATCCAAGACCTATCGTTTGTATTGCAAATAGGGAGGAGGGAGGGATTTACCAGAGGGAGACTTTGTACAAAAGTCGATTGCTTGGGTACCTCTGTCCCATTGGTGTTTCAGCCGTGAAGCAGCTGTGTTTGCATGGCTGTGTTTCGGTTTGAAGGGCGTGAATTTACTGGGTACAGAGGAATAACGCCTGAGTCCTCAGGAATGGCAACGAATGGGGGATATCATGGTGAAACAGTATACTTTGTTATGTCCATGGTACTACTCATGTCTATAGGCAACGGTTACCACTTTCCATCAGGTGGACCGTCGGCTTGTTTGCCATTCTAAATTGTATAAAAAAAAATAAAAAAAAAGGGATTCAAGTCTTTGAGGCTAACCCTCGCGCAAAATACCCGAATGTATAAACGCTCAAAAAATATTATCTCGCTTTCTTCGGCGACCTGTTAAAACGTCAGCAACGTGATGTTTCACTTCAAATCAAATTCCATGGTTGTATATCCATTACGTTAATTTGTTTATGCTCTGAGGATGTTGGACAAAACATGGATAAATAATAGTCCATTTAAAAATATCGTAACTCTCGACTGTGGAACGTCCAATGCAGTCATTTGGACACAATAAATAAACATCAGTTGTTGAAGGCATCAGTCGATTATGTGTATTGAAAGCAAACTGTCTCAGGCTGTTTACACGTCATAACGCGGCAGATGCTTGGTACTAGGCCAACATAAACAACAGGTATGAGACCTTCAATACGCCGGAGCGTTCACAATCGATGCGAAAACAAATGCGATACGTATGGCGGGATGACTTAAGTCTATAATTAAGACACATTTAACTTTCCGAACGATTCAAGTTCACCAGATTTTTGACACGCACGGCACTATAAATACAGGAGAATAATCGGTCAAGTGTGTATCGACCACAATTGCGGCCGTCGAACTAGATTTTAAACGCTACTTTGTACGCGTAATTTTCAGAATGCTAAAATTTCTAAATGCCGTATCATAATAAAAAATAGTCACCAGAATTTAAGTCAAAACCTCATTCAATTTGATGCAGTAATTTTTGCGTGATGTCAGAACAAACATAAGGACAGATAAAATTTCTAAAAATCACCGTTTTGTTTTCTATTGATCTTATTAAGAACTCTCATGTTAATTTATCTTAAATATATCCTACGTACAGACATCGTCTAGTTACAATTTTATTATATTAGTAAAATATAAAATCATTCTAAAAAAAAAAGGAGAGATTATAACTCCAATAATATATATTATTATTATTATTTCAGCCGTTAATTGTCCACTGCTGAACATAAGCCTTCCCTATAAGAAGAGTTTTGCCAGTAGTTGCCACGCTTGGCAGGTATCCCGGCATGAAAATAGGCCTTCTCTTCCTTTCCCGCGAGTGTCGAAAGAGGTGACTAAGGGAGGACAAGGGGTTGGGCAGCAGCGTCCCTTTTAAAACATCACTAAAAGCCTAACTGCGATTGCCAATCCGCCTGCCAAGCGTGACAACTACTAGCAAAACCTCCCTCATGAGGGAGGGCTGTGTCCAGCAGTGGACAGTTAACGGCTGATATGACGATGATGATAATGATGAAGCAGTAAAAGTATTTTTTGCGGTGCAAAATAAACCTGTATGAAAGCAAACAATAAATACCTGGTTCAAGCTGGTGCGAGTCCAATGGCTTATCCAGTAGCATCTCTCCAAATATCTCCCGGCAATAGTTGGCGATCTTCGCCTGTTGGCGCGGGTTGCAATGGTTTTCGAAACTCAGTATCACAGGATAGTCGGAAGTCTTGAAAGCGCTTTCAGCGATCGCTTCCAGCACCTCTTTTGCGCTGATCTCAGGCACGAAAGTGTATCCGTGGACTATGACGGGCTCCTCGGTGCGGCCATTCCAGAAGTCTAGCTCTACACATCTGTAGAGTACAAATAAAAAATAAATTTAAATATTATAAGTAACCCGATATTCATAAATTAACTTAACTCGAAGACCAAGATGACGTCTATCGTCCTGGTTAAAAAATTTAAGGAAATGGTTCGGAATTAGCACCAGATCCCTTTTTAGGATCGCCTTTGATGATCGCCGACCTCCGATAAAAGACGCCATCTTAAGAGCTTCAAAAATTGTAACTAAATAACATCATCATCACGTCAGCTTTTACACAAAAAAAAACCGCATCATAATAGGTCATATCGTTTAGGATTTACTTAACAATTATAAATAATAGGATGGAATAACTACATTAGCTCGGGTGGGCTGCTGGGTGTTTTAGGTTGTGCCCCCAAATATAACTTGGTATCTCATAAGACGGAGTACCTATCCTAGCTTGAGTAACTGGCAATTAAACTATCTTCTTGGCTAATAAGCTTGTACCGTTAGAGCAAAAGCAAATGCATCTATCGATAAAAACGCTTTCGTTACCCCGCACATAGGAAAGAAAAAGACACCGAACGTTGCTGCCTTTCTCTATTCTAAACATAAAGCAGGGACAACGTGTCTATCGACAGAATTTTGAGACATTGAATAAAGAAACTGAAGATAAAGTGTCTTAACTATTTCGCGAGATTTTCTGGCATTTAATATTTACATAAAATAGAATAAAAAAATCCAGTAAACTTATATTAAAGTGAACATTATAATCATCATCATCTCAGCCATACTTTGTCCACTGCTGAACACAGGCCTCCCTCATAGACTGCTATAAGGAACTGTCCTGAGCCACCTGCATCCACTGACTCCCACAAATGACTCAATCCTCTGACATAAAGCAATGAAAAATTATCTGTATAATTTTTCATTGCTTTTAGAGGAATTATACATATTTTCCAATGCAATTAATGTACATTAATTAAATATATGGAAAAATTCCAAACCACTACTAACAATATCAAATATTTACTTCTATTTACACCTTTTAAAATCCAATTAAGGTCAATAATTAATAATGTATGAGATAACAATTTAATTCGACAAATTATTAAAATTCGATCAAGCCCTAAGCAGGTTTGTTTACAATTCACTGTTTATGTTATGACTTCTTGATGGCATTTTAATATATCGAACATATTATACCAGCGATTCCGTCCGACTGGTGGGGGGGGGGGGGGAGATTGTAAATAATGCAGACTATTAGTCCCATTGCTAGCAATATACCCTGTCAGGTCGACCTCCACGTGGCCGCCCCTGGAAACTATCGTGCTGAATTCCAGGGGTGTTTATCACGTTGTGCTAACTGACCTGCCTTTTTATCTCACCTATCATCCCTCACTGGTGCCCCGTCAGCGTATACCATTTGTGCAGGCGGAGTTTGAAATGACAGATGAGATGAAAGGGCAGGTCAGTTAGTGCATCGTGACGAGTACGTCAGGAATTCAGCACGATTGTTTTCATGGGGGACCACGTGGAGGTCGGCCTGACGGGGTGGGTATATTGCTAGCAATGGGACTTGTAGTCCGGATTACTAACAGTTTCCAGTAGGATGTTATATTAATTTCGATCAGGTTCTTCACTTCGATATTATATATTGAGTACCCGATATTTAACATATCGTCACCTTTATGGTAAACTTACGAAATTGAAAAAGATACATTTTACAGGGGAACGTTTTGAAACATTAGAATGCAAATAACTTTTAACAAAAGACTACTGTAAAAAATCATGCTAACATTTTAGTTTTAAAATCCTGTTTTTTATTGAATACGCTTAATTAATTATTATTATATTACAAGTATCAGAAATAAATGCATATTCGTTACTTTGCACCTTCATACATGAGAGTTCCTAGGTATTAAGTTATACAACAGCAAATCTACGAAAGTGGCACTTTCGTAAGTTGCCAAAGAAAATCATTTATTTTAACATCTGGCTAACTAACGAAAGTGCCAATTTCGTAAATATACCAAGGTATAAATCACGTGTTTGGAGAAAACTTCAGTTTAAATAACAACGTTAAAGCAATCATTCATGTAAAATAACTAAATTAGGATTGAAAAATTGATAAAATAATTATTGATATTTTCAAATTAAAGTGTTTATTATAGAAAATACTATAAAAATATGCTAAGTAAGTTTACTTTGGGTATATCACAAAAATATAGAGATTCGAGCTACTCGATTTCTTTAACCGTTCGAGATAGAAATTTGAAAATAAGCCACAATAAGTAGTATGACGCAAAATGTAGATTTTTAAAGAAATGTCAAATTTGAAAAAAACTTCGTAAATTTGCCGTAGAGGTGACGATATATTGGGTTAATATATAAATACAGTAAATACAATATTCAGATATTCCTAATTATCCACCCGTACTACGTAGACATAACACCATAGTCCTCAGGAATGGTAACGCATGAAGAGTAACACGAGAGTCAGGCGACGGTTAAATATCACTTCCCATCAGGTTTGTCATTCTGTTACATAAAAAAAAATATTATCATAGTTTTTTTTTATTTCAAAATGTACTAATGAAGTCGTTAGTGTTTGCGATACGATAAACGCACTCAACGATTTTGCTTTATCTAATCACTTTGATGGGATCGCGACTCATTTGTATTAATTGGAACGACTAGCCGATAACCCCATAGCCATAGTTTTAATTATATTAGGAAAAAATGTAAACAGTGAATGATTTTTAGCTCGACTACGCTTAGTAACTGGCTCATTTTTTATAGACTCAGTATTGATATCTATAATATAGTTATGAAACACGAAAGAGAAAACGTCGTTGATTTAATCATTTACCTATGTTTTCTTGCTGAAAAAAATCTTGTGAATCATCAACTTGTCTGCCATTTTCAATTGCATATAGTTAAAGATTGCGTCCAATTGTGACAAAACCAGTCATTTTAAATTAAAAACTAAACTACTGAACTGATTTTGATAAAACTTTCTTTCAGACAATTAATAATTCGTCAAATCGAGTCAGAATTGATAGAGTTATGAGACCCTTATGAGAACCTTTTAGTAAAAAATCATACTAACTGAAAACTCTTTTTAAAGTTGCTTGAAAAGATATAGACGCGAAACACCTCAAGTCTACAGACAAAATTTAAAAACTAACCACCTTATTCATAAAAAACAAAACCTATTTTAACTAATATCCTGTTTAAATTAAGAATTCAACACAAAAGAAAGAGACAAAACAGTTCAATAATTAATATTAGGTTAATAAGTGGTTTGACGTTTTTATGAATAAGAGGGTAATTCTAAGGCATTATATTTCTAAGCCTTTATATCGAAATAGCAATATATCATTCTGTTTATTTCAAGGCAGAAGTGGGAACGAAATTCGATTTGAAAGCCTCACAAAACTGAATTTGAAATTCCAAAAAAGAAGAATCATTCCCAAAAGGCTAGCCAACACACCTGCAATATCTCTGATTATACTATTGGCGGCCATGACTAACCTGATACCATAATTCATATTGTTTTTATTAAGTGTTCTTACTTAGTTTCTTGAGTGAGCAAGTATGTTAAAAAAATTCACGCGACCCGTATAATAGGTTATCGGAAAGGTTATCAATGAAATGTGAGACTTAGTCATCCGAATATAAAATTACTACTACACCATTGAAAAAAGATATAATAAAAAAAAAATAGAGCTTCGCTAAAATATTGGGAATGCTTTTATTGTTATAAATGATACTCTATAATAAGAAGAGATTAAAACAGGAGATAATAAGAGAATATTAAAATTATTTCATGTACCTTATTGTAATAACAATGTAACTTTTAATGATCCTCTCTTCCGCATGTGCAAATAATAATTGTAATGAATTGGACATTTTTGCTTATAATTTAAATTCTTTTCTTAAAATGGCAAAAGAAGTGTCTGAGTTTAATATATAATTGTTCTCATTTTCAATTGTTATTGTATATAATATTGAAGTATAAGCTAACGCTGTGCGTAGCAATTAATGGTATACAATTTTAAAACAATTAGTTATAAAATTCATTATATTCAATTTAATGTGAATTGTAATACTGTTGCTGTGCCCAAATAAATAAATAAATTGACTAGCGGTCGATAGACTAACTAGTCAAACGTATTGATTACAGAAAGGACTAAGTAAAGAAAATTAAATTATAAGAAGCATACCATAAGAATACAAGTATCAGGAAATTTAAAATGAAATACAGCCTGATAAGAGTGGCGGCGATTTTTTTTTAGTGGATAAAATGAAATAGTAACCCCGCCTATGCTATCGGTATATTCCAGTCATAGACAATAGGTGAGGATGAAGACAGGTCAGTTGGCCCATCGTGAAGAATTCGACAAGAATTAACCACAATGATCCCAGGGAAAACTACGTGGACTTCGACCTGATAGTGTATATTGCTAGCAATGGGACTGTTAGACCCCATTATTCCCATTCCTCCATTATCCCTTCCCCTCCAGTGTGGTAATTAGGTTAGATCTCTTCACTTATAGGAATAGTTCATGGCCAGCATTGTAAAATTTTATGGATTGTTCAAGGAGGAGAGGGGATTTGCTAGGTTTGATAGTTTAATAGATTCTAATGACTATAAAGACAACGTGATACCCTGTTAAACCAATCTCTTCGATGCCTCTCCTGTTGAAAACTCCAGCAAAATTTACAACGGGTATAAAATTTAAAATTTTAATACAATTTAAAAATGAGAAAATTATATTATATACGGGAATAAATAAAATAAAATTTCCTGGCACTACAGTATTTAATGGTCGTATAATCCCGGCATAGAACAGGCCACTCCTTACTTTCTTTTGGGTGTCGTAAGAGGCGACTAAGGGGACTTAATGACCAAGGATTGGACAGCAACGTCTCTCTTAAAACATGACCAAAAACTAACTGCAGTTGCCAATCCGCATGACAACTACTGCAGAACCCCCTCATGGGGACACCTATGTTTAGAAGTGGACAATTAACAGCTGATATGATGATGATGATGATAAAGTTTAATGTTCAAATCTACACATCAAGGCGATATTTAGTTTAATACACCATCTGAAAACTATCATGAATTATTCCATGTTAATTCGATACAATGGTTTCGTTCTCATCTATTTCTCTCCATCAACGTGTACCGATAGTGTTAGCGCGGTTACTATTCCATATTCATCGCTAAAAAAAATGGTTCGTTCAAGTAGGTAAATGAGAAGGTTATCTCTCGTCTAGATCTTCGAGCTCACGGGCGTTGCAGTATAATGGTGCTAGTAGGTACTACTACGATATCGATCCGTTTATTTCTAGGCACTGGCCGTTATATTCTGGTAATTCTAGGGTTATTGGTAAGTCGTATTTGTATTGGTCGTCGCGTATTGGTGGGTTGAATATTTTCTTTGCTCACTGTACCTAGTTTGTTTTTTTCTCCGACGAGAGTTAATGTAAATATATATTTTTATAGAAAACAAATCGAGAATGTTCGTAGTTGTGTTATTTTAACAAGACGGCTAGACTTTCAAATAAACAAATGGGACAAAACTGAAATAACAAATGGTACTGTAAATAGGGCCAGTTCTATTTGTCCCTATCAACGTTCCCCCACTGGGGGAGGGATGAATGGAAATTCATTTCCACTTATCACTACCAAGCGCTTTTTGTTTACAAGTACACTTCTGTTCATAAATAAGTAGGCAAAGTTAGAGGAGGAGGATAGTGGGAGCCTATCCTGGATAGGATACAATATTTATATTTCATTTTTATATATTAGTTATAAAAAGCATCCTATATTACATAGTCTATCTGTGTGCCAAATTCAATTTAAATAAATTCAGACGTTTCAACGTGATAGACTAACAAAATGCAAACAATATTACAAACTTTCTCATTTGAAATAGTAAGATTATTTCATACCTTAATGCTGGATATAAATATAATATTTACTAAAAAAAATTAAGGACCCTCGATTTTTAAGTATTTAAAACAAAAAGCTACTTCGGCGAAGTGGCCGCTGAATAATTAATTGGCTGGAGCACTTCGACGCAAACAATATCTGTTCTTCTTTTATTTTTAAAATAAATTATAATATTTCCACAAGTGACGTACAAGGTAATCAAAATGGCCTGATGTAACAATGATGTGTATTTTGTTACCACTTTAATGTGTTTCCAATTGTATAATAATTGTCTTCGATGTTTGATATTACGAGGGCATTCAATGCTTGTACACATGTTTCTTTTCCATCAGTGGTATAATATATACTATACCCTGTCTATATGGGGGAAAGGGATTGTTAGTAATGGAGTTTGACAGCCCCAATGCTAGCAATATGCCTTATTAGGTCGACCTCCACGTGGTTCCCCCTGGAAACGATCGTGAACAATTCTTGTTGAATTCGTCACGATGGGTTAACTGACCTACTTCATCTCCTCACCTATCATCCTTCACTGGTGCCCCGCCGGTGTATACCGATAGCGCGGGTGGGATCACCATTCCATTATCATCCATTAAAAAAAAAACCCTGTCTATATATGTGTATAACGGTAAATTTTATAAACTTACTGTGTTTATCACACCTATTATTTAATAGTAATATAAATTACTATGTTTGTTCAGCTTCAGGGGGCGTACTTGCCCTGAAGAAGGCATAAGAATGAAGTCGAAATAATTGTCGGAAACGACAAACATATGTTCATAAAATTTCTCGTTATAAATTATATAGACATCGTTAAAAAAATTAATATAAGTTTTAAAAATAATATACATTATCCTTACTATAAGCATATATATAAACTAGCAACCTACCCCGGCTTCGCACGGGTGTACTAATACAGAATACTAGACTAAATATTCTCTTTATAATATGAGTATGTAACGAAAACAATGTAAGAAACTGAACAACTGAAAGTCAATCTGTCAATTTTGTCACAAGTTTTTAAGGTCCCTACTGCTTCCCACTAACTCTCTCTATACTCATAAATGACAGGAAAGTCCTGGTCACTCATCAAGTTTGTGATACCATCGATGATATTCAACATACAGTATTAGAGAGTCGTATAAACTCGATGGAAAGAGAATTTATAGACCACTTACTTTTAAATATAAAAAAATCGCTGCTATTGTATGACAATTTTTTAATCTAAATTTTTATTTATTCCTTTCACATTTCCGTACGATTTTTTAAACATTTTCTTTTATACAAACCTTGTCTTAACAATTACAAACACAACGAAAAAAAAAAAGAATTAGTCGAATAGAGATATATTACATTTGGTAATTGATATATTTCAATACTAATATTATGGGGGGAAAGGGATAGTTAGCAATGAAGTTCGACATTGCTAGCAATATGGGCATATTCTTATCAGGTCGACCTCCACGTGGTTCTCCCTGGAAACCATCGTGAACATTTCTTGTTGAATTCGTCACGATGGGCTAACTGACCTGCTTCATCCTCATCTATCATCCCTCACTGGTGCCCCGCCGGTGTATACCAATAGCGCGAGTGGGGTTACCATTCCATTATCAACCATTAAAAAAAATACTAATATATATTATAAAAAAGAAAAATTTGTTTGTTCGTTTATTTGTTTGTAATGGATAAAATCAAAAACTACTCATCCTATTTTAAAAATTCTCGCATAGAAAGCTATATTAGTAACGAGTAATATAGGCTTTTATATTATTTCCGAAAATTATATCTACCCATTCGAAGAAGCTGGGCCGGATCGATAGTTATTTTTATAGATCTGAAAATCGGTTTTTCGTTATCTCTTAACGACTTAACGGTTCAACTATTCGTCAAGAAATTTGGCATTTTGGCATATAATTTTTACCCCATTCAATCGATATCACGGTCGGCCTAATATAATATAAATAAAAGTTAAAAACGCGTTTCTCGATTCCCACGTGAAGCCAACTTTTATTTTTGCATTCAGCTTCTCTAGACGAGATTTAACTAATTTTAAACTACATAAATTATAAATTTAAACCTTACTGACCTACTTTATTTATAGTCTAGCAACTAATATATCAATACAGGGGTCAAACGGTTCAACAGATGTAAGTTGGAAATTATAGTGCAGATAGTTAGTTACTTACATATCAGGCAACTTTAATTTCTATTATTTTAATACATATTTATATAATAAGTAAGTAGGCTTTATAGTTTTTTTTTTATTGGATGAAAATGGAGTGGTAACCCCGTCTGCGATAATGGGATACGCTGGCGGGGCACCAGTGAAGGGTGATCGATGAGGATGAAAACAGGCCAGTTAGCCCATCATGATGAATTCATCAGGAATTAACCATGATAGTTTTCAGGGGGAACCGCGAGGAGGTCGACCTGGTTGGATATATTGCTAGCAATGGGATTCTTAGTCTCTATTACTAACAATCCCTTTCCCCCCTAGGCTTTATAGTAGGTGAGTGGGTAATATCTATATATATACAATGCCCAGACAAACCCAATATCATCGTATCGGTATCCAGCATTACCCTTGCCTACTTTGTAGTGTATTTGTAATTGATCTGATTTTTAGTTAACGCCCAAATTTAATCGTCAGGTCAATAACAGTTGCTTGTGGTAAATTTAATTGAATTGATAAAATAAACTAATTTTTTCAACGGACTTCTTTTATTACCACTACTACTACTTGTCGCCCTCTGGCGTTATAAGTTTTTGGGTTTATTAAGAAACACACCCTCCAAACTAGGCCTCCAAGTGACTTGTATTGATTTTTTTATTATATTACAATAAATTGGCATGAAATAAAAAATGTGAGTTCTAATTGCGCCAACTTCGAAATCACACAATAAACATTTGAAAATGATTAGCATATTATAAATTTATTTCTATACACTTATTTATTTATTTCATCAACTGGATGAGCTTTACAGTCTCCCTATATGCTCAACCCAGGAAAGCATCAGTACAATAACACATAATTGTATATAAACACATAATAATATATGTATTATTGTATAGAGATATGTATGTATTTTGATTTTAATTGTATGAGTTACTTATATATGTCAACATATTTATTATTTTTTATTAATTTCTATTAACTGGATGCCCGCTTTTAAGTCTCCCCAATACAGGATCTGGAAGAGAACTCTTACAGGAAAGCATCGCCTGTTGTACACCTTTATTATATATATATATATATATATATATATATATATATATATATATATATGTTATATTTTTTTGTGTACAATAAAGAATAAATAAATAATTAAAAGGAACAATATTGGTAAAATTTAACTCAAATAGAAATAACATTAGATATTAAATCACTGACCACAAACACTCTGTGGTCATCAGACGATTTATGTATATGTATAATTAATTAGTATGCAACAAATAATTTATGTCACAGAATAGAATAGAATAAATATTTATTGTGAGTTGTACATTATAATTTTTCGTAAGATGTTATTAAAATCTTAAAGGAAAACACAGCCTACCCATACATCGGGCATACAATACAATTAATTATACATATGTTTTTTACCACCACTGCCCATAAATCGCTTTCCGTTTTTACCTAATGATTAGCTGCTAAAGAATGCCATCCGGCATTAAGCTCGTCACTTCTACAAAGTTTACTGAGTACAAAAAAAATAAATAAATACACTTACCTACAGCCAGCCAATAGGCTCTGTCTGTATATCTCCACGCTAGATTTGCCGGTGATCTGATGTCCCGTTAGATACGTGTTGTGAGAGCTGTTGATGAAGTAATGTGCTAGCGGCTGATCCATGTCGTCGCAGAGGTCCAACTTCCTTAACGGAACTATTGGATTGTCCTCCGACATTAGGAATCTGCAATATAACCATAACAGTTGAAAAACATAAAGTATTTTTTTTTATGCAACTTCAAATAACAAAAAAGCTGGCGGCGCATCTAATGAAAAGTGGGAATTTGGTCGTGTATGGATATGAATACACTATTATGCCCATGGTATCCCTCATGCTTTACTATTCCCAAATACTATGTTATGTATCCGTATCCTATAATTTCACTGCCATATGCCCACCTTTCAAACCGAGACACAGCTATATAAACAACTGCTTCAGGACAGCAGATGATTAGTCATACAGACGAAATTTGCACAATCTTCCTGTGGTAAAAAGTGAAACTCAGCGATGCAAGCACAGTAGATCCACGGCAGAAACACGAGTGGGACAGACGTGCCCATGATACTCTTTAAAAGTCGTCTTTTGCAGAGGGGAAACGTATCATTAGTAATGGGTCTTACAGCCCCATTGCTAACAATGTACCCTATCAGGTCGACCTCCACGCGGTTCCCCCTGGAAACCATCGTGATTAATTCTCGTGGAATTTTTCACAATGGACTAACTGACCTGCTTTTATCCTCACCTATCAACATTCACTGGTACCCTGTCAGTGTATACCGATAGCGCAAGTGGGGTTACCATTCCATTATCACCCATTTAAAAAAGAAACGAACTTTGCATTTCTTTTACCACGACATTGCAAAGTCTCCCTTTGGCAAATTATGAGAATGATTAGCGCGCCACGTGTGGAGCTTTATGTCGATTGTATTACAGACTTACGTAATGATTTATTTTGAGGATTATTTCCACAACCACAAGAGCGAAGTGATTTCTAAATTAATATGAATTTTCTATTGAACTTCTATCATTGGAAACACAGGATACCTTCTATGCTATTTCACTTAGGCAAAGCCACGGGCATTTATAAACGTACCTTAAAAATCCGTCAAAGGTAAGCTGCGACCTCTGCTGGTGATACTTGTTGTGCTCGTATGCTTTAATGAGGTCCTTCGCCCGTTGCAGGTCCGCGTACGGGTGCAGGATCTCGTTGAGGCGAGGGTCGCGTTGCACCTCGTTCAGAAAGTCCACCAGTTGCGTGGCCGATAGGTGGGGTTTGCCGTCCGTTCTATATTAGAAACAATAAAAAAAAACTTTGATCGAAAAGATTGTGATCCAGAAAAAAAGACCGACTTTAATTGTGGCAAAAAAAAATAATTTTAATTAAACTATTGAACCGATTTTGATGAAATTTCTATAGGACCAATATAAGTATATCCTTTCAGATAAAAAAAAATCTAAATCTGTTATGTCCATGGTACTGCTCATGTCTATAGGCGACGGTTACCACTTTCCATCAGGTGGACCGTCAGTTTGTTTGCTATTCCAAGTGGCATAAAAAAAGGCTGAAAACTGACAGGGTTATGAGGTAACAAACATAAAAACAACCAAACAGAGTACCTCCTTCTTTTTGAAATCAGTTTAAAATCGTAATTAAACGATGTCTATAAATGGAATCTTAATTAATAAGAGCAGTAAAAGTCAAAATAATATTTTTTATTAGAAATTTTATCTATCTATATATCTATTTCGGCATCACGCAAAAACTATTACACCAATTTGGATGCAGTTTTCACAGGTGTGTACCTGAAGATACAACTTATAAATCTGGTGTATGTATTACCATAATATGCCCTCAAGAACTGGTCTATCTCACTGCTTTTCCTACTTCTGAAATCCACGCGTAAAAAGTAGCGGATAAAAACATCTCTTAAAATCATCTACAGTACTTACAGACTATTAAATATCTTCTGTACTTCTGTGCGCTGCGTGAGGCTCTTGTAAAAGGCGAAAAAGTCCTCAAACTGGAATTTGGAATGGCTTATGGTGTCATTCTTGCCGGTGGGCAGGCCCGACTCGCTCAGAGCCTTCTCCACCCGTTTCTTGTCTTCTTTGTTTTGAGCAAATAACCTGACGATGCTGCGGCAAAAACACATATTTATAGACTTTGTACAAAAGTCGAATGCTTGGGTACCTCTGTCTCATTCGTGTTTCAACCGTGAAGCACTTGTGTTTGCATGGTTGTGTTTCGGTTTGAAGGGTGGGATATGGCGTGAATTTACTTGGTACAGAGGAATAACACCTAAGTCCTCAGGAATAGCAACGCATGGGGGGTATCATGGGCGAAACAGTATACTCTATTATGTCAATGGTACTGCTCATGTCTATAGGCGACGGTTACCACTTTCTATCAGGTGGGCCGTCAGCTTGTTTGCCATTCTAAGTTGTATAAAAAAAAAGTAACAGATACAGATCATTTTACAGATTATTCATCATTCATAATTTACAAAATTCAAAAGTGCAGTTAAATTATCAATAATAATCACATCCTAGTCGTAATATAAGCTTAATTTAAATATAATAAGATCTAATAACCGATAATGAGGGGAAAAGGATTGTTAGTAATGGGGTCTAATAACCCCGTTGCTAGCATCATATATCAGGTCGACCTCCACGCGGATCCCTTTGGAAACTATCGTTCATTCATTCCTGTCGAATTCGCCATTACAGGCTAACTGGCCTACGTTCATCCTCACCTATCATTTCTCACTGATGCTCCGTGTCAGCGTACAACGATAGCGCAAGCGGGGTCGACATTTTATTTTCACCCATTAAAAAAGAACACCCCTCCCCCCCCCCCATATACTTGTAATATATTACAGCTATTTATACAGTAATATTTTATGTATGTATTAATTGTATGTATACATTTATTTATTTAAAATATTATGTATATGTTTATATTATATGAATTTATCAAGTATTTTAGCTTTATTTTTCCTCTATTCAAAAATACACCGCCTACGTATTTCTCGGTTTGCCCAATGGTTGATTGGTAGAGCACGCCGTCCGGTGTTAAATCCGCCAAATGTATATAGAATTTTACTGTGCATTAAAGTTTAAATAAATAAATAAATATTTCATTTCGAAAAAGTACTCTAACTGTATTTTTAACAGATAAAGCAAAATTCCTTTTTTTTTTAATGATGACATAGCAATAAAACTTGTTACAACATCGTAACGTCCAACACACGTGAAACAGTAAACAATAAAAAAAAAATCGTGACCTCCAAATAAGAGAAAATCGTTAAAAATATAATTCCGATTACGCAATAAACAAAAAGAATCAAGCTTTAGATCGTATTTTATTACCTTAAATATTAATAAACATAATAAACATTGCCTTCCATTTTTAGGTGAGTAAAAATAGTCAGTCTATGAGCAAACGTTTTACTAATATAATAAAATTGTAAGCTAGATATATGTAATAGATGCGTAGATAATGTCTGTACATGGAAAATACTTAAGAATAAATAATATGAAGGTTTTTCATAAGATCAATATTTATTGGTACCTAATCTACCGTTAATTGACCATTGCTGAACATAAGCCTCCCTCTATCGGGGGATTTCACCAGTAGTTGCCACGCTTGGCAGACGGGTTGACAACCGCAGTTAGGCCTTAGAGATGTTTTTAGAAGCTGCTGTCCGTCTCTCAACTATTAAGTTTTTTTTTATGGGTGAAAATGGTATGGTAACCCCGCCTGCGCTAACGGGATACGCTGGCGGAGCACCAGTGAGGGGTGATAGATGAGAATGAAAACAGGCCACTTAGCCCATCATGACAAATTCATCAGGAATTAACCATGATAGTTTCCAGGAAGAACCGCGAGGAGGTCGACCTGGTTGAATATATTGCTAGCAATAGGATTCTCAGTCTCCATTACTAACAATCCCTTTCCCTCCCGACTATTAAGTTCCGTCGTCTTAGTCGTCTCTTACGACACCCACGGGAAAGGAAAGATGGTCTATTTTATACCAGGACCACACGGTAAGGAGAATAAGACCAATAAATGCCAAAACAATAATTTTTAGAAATTCTATGTGTCCGTCTATATGTTCGTTGCGGCATCACGTTAAAACTATTGCATCAAATTAAATGCACTTTTCACCATTTTTTTTTGCAACTTATAATGGTAAACAACAAGCTGACGGCCCACCTGATGAAAAGTGGTAACCGTCAACTATAGACATGAGCAGTACCATGGACATAACAGAGTATATAATAATTGTATTTCTGAAGTTTTAACTTAAAAACTGCGGGTCTACTTTTGAGTCCAATATTGATATCGGTCCAATCTATTGCCAATGACAATTTTATACAGCACTCATGAAACAACAATTAGGGATTAGGTGAGAATTGGAATCGGTTTGCATTGACAAGTAATACTATAATACTAATATGCGTCTATCAGAACAATATGGAACTATTATGTCGCTAGTGTTTTACAAGTCGAGAGTGTAAAACGTCTCAATTTCAATAACGATCTATTGGAGTTATTTCAAGAGTAACCACATTGCTACATTTATCTTAATCCGCCATCTAGAAGTGGCCTATTTGATTTTTGTTATACCACGAAGGTAGCAAACAAGTATACAGTCCCTCTGATGGTAAACAGTCACTGTAGCCTATGGACACCTTTAACACTAGGGATGTCACGTCACTGAAGAAACCTTAATTTAACCCTTTTTGATAAGCCCCATAGTGTAGTTTCTAGTGAAAACATTGGGAGGGAGCTCCTTAGTTTTCTTACTTTTAAAATCCACTCGTACAAAGTAGCGGGAAACAGCTAGTATTCGATAAAGTAAATATTTAACAGACGGCACAAGTATGCAGCCTTCATAAAATTATGTCATGCGCATATTCTAAGCGTCACGTTAACTCATAGTATGGACAATGACCAAGTCATTTACAAACGCTAATAATGTACCCAATAATGCCTGTAAACAAGTAACCACTGCACGTTTAAACAATGCCAACAATTCGATGATCACAATTAAATCGACTCAGTCGTTTCTAGATAAATCACGCTTATGTTAATCGATTTTATATTACTGGAAAATTATCAATACTATTAGTAATGCTAATACATATTGGATCTAAAAAAAAAGTACTTATAACTTATTCATTATAGTCTTAATAGACACAAAAAACAGTATGTCGACCTTATATAGGTATTCTTTACTGTATCTGTAAATTACTAGTACTAGATAGACCCACTTTATAAAACCTAAACAGGATTTGTTTCATCATTAACATCATTTCAGTTATTATCTGTCCACTGCTGGACATAGGCCTTCCTAATAGACTGCCATAAGGAACGGTTCTGAGCTACCTGCATCTACTGACTCCTTGCAATACATTTGAGGTCGTCCCTCCATCTAGTGGGGGGTCGTCTTACACTGCGTTCGCCCATATGGCCGCCACTCAAGAACCTTTTCTCTCCATCGGTTCTTCGAGCTATATGATCAGCCCATTGCCACTTCAACTCGCTTATTCTTTGTTTAGGATTTGTTTAGTTTATGAGCCATAAATTAAAATAATAAGGCTCGAATGATCAAAACACACTTCAATAAAAACAATAAACGAGTTTTCTTTTTAAACACAGGGGGCAAACTACCATGACATATGCATAGGTATATTCATATACACGTGTATTTTATTCGTGATGATCCTTTCAATTAAAAAATAATTTACAAATCCTTTTATAACTAACGGATCTATGAGATAACAAACTATAAAAAATAAAACCGGTGTGTGAACCACCTCCTTCTTTTTTGAAGTCAGTTGAACATTTGTATGAGGAAAATCACTTCAATGTAATAAAAATTGTCGGTTATAAATTAGTGAAGATATAACATTGTTTACAGAATATAGTTAGAAAGAAAAATAGAAGGCAAAAGAGGAAGGAGAAAACCGAGGAATTACTACATGGGACAGATAAAAGAAACACTAGGTGTCACGTCGTATAGGGAGGTCAAGGATATGTCTTGGGATTGAGCTGGCTGGAAGAAGATGCATGAATTAGTTGCACCGACAAGAGGAAACTCTTAAATGAAAAGAAAAAGGTGTCGTGGCATACACATGAAAATACAAACGAATTAAGAATAAATACCCTGCAGTGTGAAGTCTGTGAAAAATGACACGAAATATTGACGTAAACAGACATGCAAAATTGATAAAATTTAATCAAACACGAACGTTATAAATTATAAGTTATTATTAACTAGTAATTAGACGCGAGTTGGGCAACAACCTCTGTAATACTAAATTGTAATTAATAGGTTTAGGTTCTTTGATAAGGTTTAGATATATTTTCAACCGAATTAAAAAAAAAACATTAGGTTCTCAATTGATAACTCCACCGATTCTAAACCGATTTGAAAATTCTTTTATTTTATTTAAAGATATATTTACAGATCGGTCGCATAGAACCTTTGTCAAATATAGTAGTTTAGTTCTAAAATCAAAATTCGTGGTTATAGAAAAACTTTTTTTTATGGAACTAAATCTTAAATTAAAACAAACTTTTAGTGACTTTGAATATTTTATTGATATTATTTTCTAATGACAAATAATAATACTCGTATTTCGATTTATACATTATTAGTAGGCGACCCAACAAACATTTTGCTCCCTGCTCTCACCTATCGAGTTTATTTTCCTTATCGGAATAAAAACCATCCTATTCCCAAATTGGAGCAAACAATACACATTTACAGAATTTCGTTTTCGAATGCGCTGTTTCGGAGATTTGCGGGAACGAATATCACGACACGGGATTTGTATTAAAATGTGTATTTGTATTAAAATGTCGTTGAGCTGTTCCAGAGATAATGAATTTTAGTATATATGTATATCAATTATGAATAGTATTCTGACACTTCTTGAGGTTGACTGGGAGGCAATGTTTTTAACATTAAGTTTACCATGTACACATGTATGTACTAATGAATAAATAAATAATGAATAAAATGTAGCTTTAGTCCACAAAAAAATTGTAACACAATAATTTAGCTTTAATGCACTAATTACCTTTAGGGCTTAGAATTTAGGTACGTTCTTTTTACCATTTACCAGAGGGAGACTTTGTACAAAAGTCGATTGCTTGGGTACCTCTGTCTCATTCGTGTTTCAATCGTGAAGCAGTTGTGTTTGCTACCTGTGTTTTGGTTTGAAGAGTGGGATATGGCGTGAATTTACAGCGTACAGATGAATAACATCTGAGTCCTCAGGAATGGCAACGCATGGGAGGTATCATAGGCGAAACAGTATACTCTGTTATGTCCATGGTACTGCTCATGTCTATAGGCGACGATTACCACTTTCCATCAGGTGGGCCGTCAGCTTGTTTGCCATTCTAAGTTATATAAAAAAAACGTTCAAAATCAGACAACATTTATTACGTTAAATCATAAAGTCCTATTTTCATTACATAATTTAAAAAATAATAATTAACTACACAGACAGGTCTAGTTTAAAAAAAAATTACGCAGTATTGTCTAATGGGTCAACATTATACACCTATTTATAGCAAATGGGTGGATCCCAATAAAAGCACTATAAAAAGATATCACTGGATCAAATGTATTATGTACAATTAATTGTCTTAAAAGCTCGTCGCACGCAAGTACATTTCTACAGAAACTAGGAGAAAATTCTAGGAAAGCCTGGGCGGAACCCATTTTTACCTTGCCATCGATATATCCAAGAAACCTTTTAAAGTAAATGCTAGAAAATAAGGTCACTTACTAATGATGATGACTTACAGTGATCATCAGTTAATGAAACTATTAAGGGTATAATACTTTTAATAGTTTATTGATTACATAAAAATTCATAAACATAAAATCGACATTAATGTCTATATGTCACGTTTACCCTTTTGCCATCATGTTTTGCCAGCAGAGGGAGACTTTATTTAAAAATCGTTTGCTTGAGCACCTCCGTCCTATTCATGTGTCTACCGTGAAGCAGTTGTGTTTGCATGTCTGTGTTTCGGTTTGAAGGGTGGGATATGACAGGAATTTACAGGGTACAGAGGAATATCACCTGAGTCCTCAGGAATGGCAACGCATGGGGAGTATCATGAGCGAAACAGTATACTCTGTTATGTCCACGGTACTGCTCATGTCTATAGGCGACGGTTACCACTTTCCATCAGGTGGGCCGTCAACTTGTTTGCTATTCTAAGTTGCAAAAAAAAAATATGGCCGTCAACTTCTTTACCATTCTAAGCTGCATAAAAAAAGTTATGTAAAGATAGAAGTACCCATATAAACAAGTTGTAGTCTCCATCATACCATACCAAATCAGTCGTTAACAGTCCACTGCTGAACATAGGCCTCTCCCATAAAGGAAGTTTTGCCAGTAGTTGCCACGCTTGGCAGACGGGTTGACAACCGCAGTTAGACCTTGGTGATACTTTAATAGGGACGCTATGCAGTTTCATTTTAATAAAAGAAAAAATAAAAAAAAATCAACAGTAAAAGTAAAAATATATATAATAAAGTAGCCTTGGTTTTACTACCTATTATCTACTAATATTGAAAATTGAGAGCGTCAGAAAACACATCAAATTAGCATTTAATTTATAGCCATGCAATCGCCCCCGTGTTGACCTCACACCTCCGGAGTCAATGATACTTAACCTTAATAATTGACACTGGCAATAGTACCCAATCCTGGTGGGAATACAAGTGTCTCATAAACTGATTTAAACATTAATTTATTAACAGTCGGTGCATCTATTTTCATGGCAAATCTCTAACGGGTTAATCAGTAGGGATGGGTAATATCTAGCAATATCTATATATTGTAGTTACAATATCTATAAATATATTAGCCCAATAACAGACATATACGATATCGGTTATCCAATACATAATACCGAAAAAGAAAAAGCCGCTCGTAACGAATATAGATATCCGACTGGTTTGGGCAATATCGCAATGGCATCAATGTCTAGAAGAACTTATACATACATACATATCTGTCATGCTTGTCTCCCATTAGGTTAGGCAGAAACAATGGAACGCCAAATGCTTCGATTTAAACAAACTTCTTTCGCTTCTTCCACATTCATCAATCTCTTCATACACGCTCGCCGGTTACGGGTACTTTTAATTTGGCTCTTCTTCAGCACGTCGCCCATTTGGTCGACATACGTCTGTCTAGGGCGGCCCCTACCGATATCTCCATTCATTCTTGCTCCATAAATCTCTTTCGTAATTCTTCTTTTATCCATTCTCTCCAAATGGCCAAACCAACGCAACATAGAAGAACTCAATATATAGATATCGGATATTACCCATATCTAATAATCAACAATAATTGAGTATCAAAAAGCTGTATTTTTTATTAACATAAACTACCACCTGATGTTAAGTTATGAGGTGGTTTGAACGTTACATGCAGATAAACAAGCAGCCTTTAAAGATTCCAGGTTATAACAGTCATGAAATACAGACGCTAGGAGACAATCCCATTCCTTGAGAAACGAAGAAACAAAGCGCTTTGTGCGAATAATTGGAATATTAACTGTAACTGGTAAGAAAATTAAATAATGCATACTACGTAGATAAAATATAAAAAATATATTATTGTCATTAAGATTTTTTTATGGGTGAAATGGCATGGCATAGTAACCCCGCCTGCGCTATCGGTATACACTGGCGAGGTACCAGTGAGAGGTGATAGGTGAGGATGAAAAGGCAGGTCAATTAGCCCATTGTGACGAATTCAATGATAAATTAGTGACGATAGTTTCCAGGGGGAACCGCGTAGAGATCGTCCTGATAGGGTATATTAATAGCAATAGGGACTAACTTCCCCATTATTAACAATCTTTTCCCCCCTGTCATTAAGGTTAGGTATTATATCATTGCGAACATACATTGAACAAAATATAAATAAGTCTGTCTATTAGTATTATTTACCATGTGGTCCCAGCATAGAATGAGCTACTCCTTCCATTCCCATGGATGCCGTAACAGGTGACTAAGGGAACTCTATACTATTTATGATATCTCGAAAGCCTAATTGCAGTTACTAATCCGCTTACCAAACGTGGCAAATACTGATAAAACTCCCCTCATAGGCCTATGTTCAGCAGTGAACAGTTAAGGACTGATATAAAAATAAAAATTAGTATTATTCTGTTGGATTGTACGTTTATCCGACTGATGACAGAATTTATATGACAGATTGATTCAAATTAATATTCGCAGATTGCTGGCTTTTAGTCCAAATCATACAGTACGCGTGAGGTCATCAAAATTTTCCAATACTGTTACGACCGTCAGGTATTTATTATATCTTAATAACATCTTAAAAATACACGAAATACTCGTCATTATTCGAACAAAACTTTTTACTAGGTACAAATAACGAAAATAATTTAAATTTATATAAAGAGTCCCCTTTGAAAAACTTATAATGGTTGGTCGACCTTTACTCTCTTTGTAAAACAAAGGTCGATCAATCACTAAGAGATAACTTTTCATATTATGAGAATAAGGTATTAAATAGGTTAGTTGACAGAGGCTATAGGCCAAAGCTATCAATATTTTCCATGTCGAAAGAAAAAAAAATAGACATACTCCTGTACCCAAAGATTGTCTGGAGGAAATTGCTTTAGCGATAAGACCGCCTTTTGTACTTCATAAGTGTATATTTTTATTATTTTTTAAATGGTGCAATAAAGAGTAAATAAATATTTTATACAATTATCTTCTTAGATTTGTCGATTTTCTAAAAAGCGTTAACAAAAATTTGTTGAAATCGACCTTTAATCGTTAAAGTTGCATCAATCACAGCCAACTTACATATTCCGTGTGCCAAGGTATATTTGGCAGATGCAAAAACGTATACAGCGTGCAATCAAAACGGTCAGCATCCTTTCAAAGGAATGTTCTATCAAAACTGAAACTGAACATTTTCAACAAAGCAACATAGGTCGAGGAATGACAAAAAAATTACGAGCCTTCATACCCACTCACACAACGCGTCCAGCTTGTTATATTAGTTTGGAAAGCTAAACTTTCATTTTATTTATTTATACATTTTTTCTTCATTCAATTACACTTTATTGCACTATTTATAAAAATAATAAACAGTAAATTTTAATGAGAAGTTCACATTCAGTTTAGTTTTCGTTCTCGAAATTTCTATCCTAATGTTCTATGGCCGTGTGGTCCCAGCGTAGAATGGGCCACCTCTTCCTTTCTCGAGGATGCCGTAAGAGCTGCTAACTTAATAGTCGGGGGATAAGCAGAAGCATCTCTTTTAAAACATCACTAAAATCTAACTACGGTTAGCAACCCGCCTGTCTTGCGTAACATTGGCAAATCCTCCTTATGGAAAAGGCTTAATGTTCAGCAGCGGACAGTTAACGGTTGCTGTAATTCTATAGCGTTAGGTTAAATAAAAATAATTCTATAGCATTAGTAGATTCTAAACATTCCGCATCACCCTGTATAAAGCACCTACCGTGCGCGACAGACGCTCTAAACTAAATATAAACGCACAAAAAATGCAAATGGTACACTTACTTTTTGACGAGTATCTTCCCAGATTTGTCAGCCTTGAGAATTATCTTCGTGTGTAGTTTTTCTAGGAACTTGATGGTGGGATTGTTTAGTTGGTACGGGTTGTGCGCCAGCGCGAATAACTCCTCGGTCCACATCTAGATTGAAAGTTAAAACAAACTTTATTTCAATATCGTTAACATACATATATACATACACAGGCGGTACGCGGCGTATGAATGCAAACAGAAACGGTACGATTATTTTTCTTATTCCTTTCATTTCATTCGTGTGTGCAATTCTGGCTGGAGATAAACTGTAAATACTCATGTGAGTCACGTTTCAAGCTTTGAAGAGAATATTTTGTGAAAGCGAAATATTTTCATTAGTTATCGAGCATGGCAATAATAATCATAATAGCTTATTCAGCAAACATTGTTACACTTATAAAAAAGGGTCATACAGAGTAACATAACATGTATGTGTGCGAAATGGTCCCCCTTTTTTTTACATGGGTGATAATGGTATGGTAACCCCGCCTGCACTAACGATACACACTGGCGGGGTACCAGTGAGAGATGACAGATGAAAGCAGTTAGCCCATTCTGACGAAATCAACTAGAATGAAACACGACGGTTTCCAGGGGGAACCACGTGGAGGTCGACCTGATAGGGTATATTGCTAGTATATGGGGACTATTTGACACCATTACTAACAGTCCCTTTCCCCCAAGGGTCCCGTTTTGCTACAGTTTAGCGTTATGCTGCAGCGCTGATTATCAGCGGGAGTACATAATCTTATTTTAGTTAATATAGTAGTTTACTCACATAATTTTGAACACAACGTGGCCTATTATTAAAGTAAAATCACACGTCACAATCGCAATTTAGGTATAGACGTAGCTATAATAGGAGACGGTGGAAATAAATATCCCCAGACCTTAAACGAAAAATCCTAACTTTTTTTATGCAACTTAAACTGGCAAATAAATTGACGGCCCACCTGATAGATAGTGGTAACCGTCTTAAATACATATATTTTTTTAATACACTGTAACCAAATTTGCCGCTTTAGGTTCCAGCCTAGTCAGCCTGTTAGCAAATTTGCCTGATAATAATGATCCGTGTGACAAGCCTATCGTTCATATTTAATTATGGGCGGATTACGTTAGACTGTTTAATATATGAGTGTTAATCTATAATGAGTTTTAACTCACGTTTTTAAGGTCATAAATTACTAGTCCATAACACGGTGATTTCAACAACAACCTAACTAATAAGCAGAGGGCATTTTTTTTATTATAATGAAATAGTAGCTGCCTGCCTATCGATGTACACTGATGGAGCACTAGTGAAAAATGATAGGCGAGGATAAAAGCAAATCCGTTCGCCCATTATGACGAATTCTACAAGAATTGACCAAGGTGGTTTCCAGGGGGAATACTGCGTGGAGGTCGACCTGATAATGGTATATTGTTAGCAATGGGGCTAATAAATCCCATTACTAACAATTCCTTTCTCCCTAATAAGCAGAAGATTTACTAGGTGTACCAGACAACTGAAAAATACCTTTACATAAAATTACATCCTTAATTTAATATTGTAAACGTGAAATTAAGTTTATATATTTCTTTGTAACCTCTTGGAATATTAATTATGAAATTTGGCATACTATTTTAGATAGAGCAGGACATAAGGTTATTAATTCCGGTCAATCAACATATTCCGGTCATGCGGAGGAAATCGCAAATACAAACAAGTATTATATACATAGAAAACATATATACACAAAAATAAACATACCTACTTAGATAATAAACGTTTGGTACAGGGCGTATCAAACCAATGAAAAGGAACAACCATGGAAAGTGATGGTATATAGTCTCAAACTAAATTTTTATGATTCTACCATCAGCGTCTAGGTCGTTACAATGTGCATATTAGCAACTAGTTCTACCCGTGACTTCATCCGAGTGACCGTAATAAAAAATACCTACCCTATGTTCTTTTCGAATCCAAATCCAAACGAGACTCGAACGTCCGATTCGTGCAAGTTAAAATATAGAAATGTCTACTAAAAATACCGAAGTTGCTATTCGCGAGTTAACTAAAACAGTGCTTTCACTACCAATTTTAACCACTCGAGAAAGTTATTATTGACCAAAACAAGCTAATTAAAAATTCAATCGGTGATGAAAAAGTTTCGTCGAAATCTATTGTTAGTGAGTGAGGGTAGCTCGACATCAGAGACCGGACTACGACCAATCCGTGAAGCTCGTATTCGTGCGTCATCAGCAATTCTATCCAATATTGAACATAGGACTCCCCCATAAGGGGGCATTTTGTAAGGCCAGTTGGCAACTGCAGTTATTTATTTATTTATTTTATTCTTTATTGCACAATAAAACTTTGTACAAATGGCGAGCTTAATGCTGTATGGCATTATCTACCAGCTAACCATTGGATAAAAACAGAAAGCGTATGAAAAGCAGATGTGGTGAAAAATATATGACAATTATAGTAACACATTAGGGCAATACACAATATAAATATAATATACATATAAGAAATGCACATATAATACATAAACATTACTTGACAGATATGTATGTATGTATGTATGATAATATTACTAATGATTACACACGCCAATTGTCTGGTCATCAAAGGAGATATCCTATGTAATAATGTGACAATCACGTCATACACACCCACAGCTATTTCCTGTTGGCGGAGCCAGGATTAGTAGCTGTATATCATAATCACAGTAGAGTATTACTCCAGTATAAGGTATAACCCGTGGGCGATAGACCAAGCGGTCAAAGCTTACATATCCCGAACAATTATATATAATAAATAATATTTGAAACGCATTGCTCTGTCTAAATGAGTTCATTCGACAATTAATTATAGATCTACCAACTGACACTGTACTGACAATGTAGTTAAAAACGTACGTAGCTCAGGGAGTATTGCTGGCTATCTTCTAACCCACATGTATCAAATATCCATCTGACACCCAAGACAAAAATAAAACTATTGACAGAATCGTTATTGCGACCAAATCTATTAGATAATTTTGACATTACGAGGTCCGGTTTCTTAATGGATGTTAATGGAATGGTAGCCCGCCTGCGCTATCATTATACACTGGTGGAGATGGGATTATCAGTAATGGGGATTAGCATACTCATTGCTAACAATAAACCCTATCAGGTCGACCTTCTCGTGGTTCCCCCTGGAAACCACCGTGATTTATTGTGTTGAAATTGTCACGATGGGCTAACTGAGCTATTTCATCTTTATTTAACATCTGGCACTGGTGCCTCATCAGCGTATACCAATAGTGCAGGCAGAATTACAATTCCACTATAAACCATTTAAAAAAATCGGTACACACTGGCGGGGCATCAATGAGGGTTGATTGCTGAAAATAAAAAGAAAAGTCAGTTAACTCATCGTAACGAATTCAACAATAAATTAGTCACGATGATTTCCAGGGGGAACCACGTGTAAATCGACTTGATAGGATATTTTAATAGCAATTGGGATTAACATCCCCATTACTAATAATCCCTTCCCCCTGCAACGTTCGGCGTCTTGTTCTTTCTCTTATACGGGATCTAGCCGAAACGATTATATGGATAGATTTGTTAGCCACTTATGTAGAGAGAAGGAGGGCTGATATAATTAGGAATAGTACAAGTACATTGTAAAGTTACTTCCCTTCGTAGAAATGTGGATATAGCATGAGTAATAATGCGGTACGTGACAACAATGTCAACAATACCAATAATCCTATTAATGAAGATTTTGTTTCCCAAACAAACACCACTTGGATCGGGACTAAATTAGGACCAATTCCTTGCAACAAAATCTTTGTAGATTTGTCGAAGATGTAAGAAATTAATGATATGGAAACGGACAAAACTCGTTGCCCGATAGAATACGTGCCCAGTCCTTTAAGACTAGTATTCATGCTTAGGTACCTTTTAGGTCTTCTAAATAAAAAAAAAATTTGGTAGACAGTAGTTCATCATATGTATGTGTGTATATATCTATATATTGGATACCGAATGGAGAATAGAATCACAACAAATTACTATTTAAAAATGCTTATAATTAATTAAAAGTTTAAGTGAATAATAAGTATTCTTATTCATATCTATACATCTTAGATTATAGTCTACATACAAATGCTTCAAGAAAAGCGGGGCAACTTTTTCATACAATTTTACGTGACAAATAGTTATGAGTGTTTCCTTTATAACTTCCAACTTTATTTTATAATTTTTGTCTATTTTTGCGTAAAAACTTTTTTATTTATTAAATACTGATACTTCCAGATACATTATGTGCGTAAGTATATAGAACACTGAATAAAAAACTAATTAGCTATTTTAACAATTAGCTGACAATAAGCTGGCCCGTTTTTGAGACTCGATGCTCTACATAATCTAAGACATACATATATTTATTTTATGTATGAATGTATTTAATTGTCCATATTACAGCAAAATATAAATTATTTTACCATAACCCAAACCGCCATCGAGTGTCTCCACTACATCCTAAAGGTGGACTGATAGAGAATGCCTATAACATTCCGTCCACCTTTTGTACCACATTTTATTGGTCAATAAAGTTTAAAATAATAATAAATAAAATCGAAAATACCCAGGCATAAAAATATTTATAGTAAAAACTAGCCGTGCGCTCTAAATTATTTCCCGTAGGCAACTTCTACGAGTATACAAACTTTCTTGCCCTATTTATCTTGAATAATTGCTTTACCGATGAATTTTCAATTGGGTTATACAGAGAACTTAGGGGCAAATGTTATACTTCCAGATTCATCGATTTATAACAATAATAATAATGTTTATTTATTTTATCTTACAACTTTTTTGAGTACAATATTACACTTAAAATAATACCATAGATACATCAAAGTTGTACAATTTCGAACCAGTGTAACCGACATAGCCCGAAGGATAAGCAAACTGAAGTGACAATGGGCTGGTCACATAGTTCGAAGAACCGACAACTGATGGGGAAAAAAAAAGTTTATGAGTGGCGACCCCGTACGGTCAAACACAGTGTAGGGCAACAAATATGCAAAAAAAAAATAAGGGTAGATTTATATGTACCGTATTTT